CGCGCTTAGTTCATAACGTTCACGTAGGTCCGTAACAAGCACTTAGGGTTGTAAGCGTGCTAACATGTCGCTTCAGTTGGGGTTCGCGCTTAGGAAGCTCACGCGTTCCTCTTCAGGTTACGTGGGTTTCCCCCCTCGCGGTCACCGATTCGCAACATGGTGCATCGTGCGTCGGCGAAACGTTCCCGTTCGGCAAAGGTAAGTAATCAAAGCCGGTAAAAAAGGCACTACCACTGCCGCAGGGGTTAGCTGCGTCCCTCCCCCTATTTTGTCTGTACTATAGCTCGTTCAAAACTTACTTATTGCGCTGTTAGTTCATCAACTAAGGTGTTAAGTGCACTAACGACCCCGGGCGTCCTATCTGGTTAGGGGTGGCAACTAATCGGGTAGGCGTCCATGCGCAGGGGAAGTTAGCTGTGCAATACTTAGGCAACTCAAGCAAGCAAAGCGTCTAGGCGGTTAAGTATGAGCTAGCGCCTTAAATATTGGGGCACGCGGGCCCTAGCCGCAGTCGTTGGCAAAGCGCAACGGCGCGGTGGATCGCTATCGAGGTAGGCTTGGACCATGGTCAACAGGTTAGTTAGTCTCGCACGTGGGCGAGCGCACTGAGGAGAGCCGGCTCGTTCCCTCTACCTGTGGGTTGGCCACCCAAATGGGTAGCTTGGGTAGGTGCTAATCGGATGGGTCTACCCGCTCAGTGCAGGTTTTCTCCTTTTCTGCCTAGTTCAGCGGCGCTTTCTTGACCACTTATGAGCCAATGGCGCGATAAAGGGTAAATCAATAGCTACGTCGGACAATCAATAGTGCAGTAAATTAAAAAGACCTAATCGTAAAATCAAACGTTCCGAACTTCTACTTACGCACCATAGGGCCCAATAACATCTTTCAAAGTAGGCAATCACAAAAAAATGTAGTAAAATATACATCACATCAAAAAAATGTAGTATAAAAAACTCACAACACCGTAGGATTAGATCCAGTTCCTTTTCATTCAAATTTCATTCGTTCATTACATTCCTTTTCAAATTTGTCGTCGTTCGCACTTAACATTTTGCACGGTGTTACGGGTTTCCACTCGGGACCCACTAACACCATTCTCCCCT